ATGAGGGCGTAAATACTCATTCCTTCCTCTCCTCAGCAGGGATTGAGGGCAAGGAGTCGCCCTCCAGCCCCCACCCTGACCAGGGAGCACTGCCCATCCCAGCCCGCTGTGGCTGCACCCGGGGGACGCGTGACGTTGGCTTCTCCCACGTGCTGCACTCAGTACATTGCTGAGAGCCTTCACACTCAGCAGCAGCTTTGCATTAGATGATTTCGCCAGCTGTAGGCTAACGGGAGTGTTCAGCGCCCTTAAGGGAGGTGCAGCTAAGCCAGGGTGTGTTAGGTGTATTAAGTGCATTCTTGACTTAAATTATTTTATTTTGACATAACTCTACGGTGAGTCAAGGAATATCAGTACCTGGATACCCAGTGGGGCCTCCTTGAGCACAGTCTTTTGCTTGTGATCTTTTGCTTATGATTGCTTTAGAGGCTGAATTTGAGGACTTTATTATTTTGTCCCAAAGGCCCTCCCACCTATCCATCCATTTTTTTTTTAACATTACTGGGAATTGAACCCAGGGCCTATACTCTGAGCTCCATCTCCAGCCAGCCCTTTTTTAATTTTAATTTTTAGATTTTGACATAGGTTCTTGCTAAGCCACTAAGTTGCCTAGTCTGAGCTCCAACTTGAGATCCTCCTGTCTCAGCCTCCCAGAGTGCTGGGATTACAGGTATGTGCCACCACATCTGGCCCAAAGGCCCCCTTCTTGTAAATCAAAATTCTTGGTTTAAAAAAATACTGTCTTTGTTCAAAAGCTCATTTTGAAACTCTCCTGGAGCTGGCACCATGGTGCTGGTCTCTGTTGCAAGTGGTAACAGTTAAGGGTCAGCTGAGCGGAGGTGTAGAAGGAGGGAGAGCAAGGACCTTGCTGAGAACTGTCTGGGTGGCACATCTGGGTCACCTCTTGGGTCTGAGCCAGCAGGGTTCTGGGAGGCCCCTGGGGCTGAGCGCCTGGGTCTGGAGCCCAATTCTGTTTCTCACCCGGTGCTTTGCCTCGGGAAGTCACTTCCTTCTGCCTCAGTTTCCTCCTTTGTAACATGGAACAGTAGTAGGGCTGAGAAGAGTGCTCGATTCCTTGGCAGGCACAGGAGCTGTGTAGCTGTGGCAAGTGTGCGCTGCAGCCCCTTAGCCCTCAGGGCAGCCGGGACTCGCAGGTGACATAGGCGCTGGTCTGCAAGCCACCCAGGTGAGTTAGTCAAGGTTAATCAGAGGTCAGGTGCTTGTCCAGCCCTAGAGTGGAAGTGCCTGGGCATGGAGGGGGCCGATGCCCCATTCCCTTGTGGTTGGGGTCTATGATCTTAGCACAAACAGAAGAAAGACAAGGGGCTGTGTATCACCGGCTGTGGGACTGAGTGTTGGGGAAAAGGTCTTCCTCAGGATGTATTCCCATCCCCTGGTCCTGAAGCTGAGAATTTCATGTAAAGTGGGTGAGCTACACACTCCTGACACCTCAGCTCAAAGAATTTCCCATGGACACAGATTCAGGTACAATAAATGGTTGCTAATAATGAATCCCAAAGCATCCAAGGAAGCAAACACTCATGAAGGTGAACAGAAATCAGAGACATGACACAGGCCACTCAGGCCCCTGGATTGGCGGTCCCTCAATTTCCTGAGCCTGGGCTGGCTGCCCAAGGGCATGAAATGGCCACCAGATAGAAAATGTTTTATGCTTTTCACAAAATAAAAGAAAGGGTTAAATTATAAGCATAGAGCAAAGGGTTTTCTTAAGAGACCAAATAGAGTGCCTAGAAACTAGACATTTAATTGAAATTTAAAAACAGAACTTCAATAGATGGCCTCAACAGCAGATCAGACGCAGCTAAAGAGCAGATTAGCATTTTGAACCACAGGGCAGCAGAAAATATTGGGAATTGTCTTCATGTTTCCTGTTGGTATAACCTAACACCCTAGACTGAGTAATTTGTAAGAAATAAAGGTTTGTTCAGCTCATGGAGCTATAGGCCGAGATGCTTAAGATCAGGTGGCCACAGCTGGCAAGGCCCTTCTTTTGAGTAGGACTCTGCAGACTCTTGAGGTGGGCCAGGGCGTCCTAGATCAGGTCTCTCCTCCTTTTTCAAAGCCACAGAACCATTAAATCTCCCCCCCCCCCCAGGGCCTTATTCACCTCCCTAAAGCCCCACCACCTCCAAAGGTCATAGTTGATTACATTTTTACTCTCTCAACACCTCACAGTGGGGATTAAATGTCAATGTGTAAACCCCAGCAGAAATGTAGCTTGGGGAGATGAGCAGACAGTTCTGAGGGGATTTAGATCATGAGAAACAGAGCAAAAGCCCCACCTCGGGGATTCAGGAGATGTGGGAGGCAGGACTGGGCCAAAGACGAAATTGTGAAGATTTATAGGATGTTGACTGCCCAGCACTAACCCGACTCCCACACCTTGCCCTGTCAAGCACTGGGGGCAGCAGTGTCCCTTTTGGTGTCCATCTTGGGTATGGTGTCACTGTGACAGATTCAGGACAGTAGCCCCTAGCGGGCAGCAAAGGAAACTTCATCCCTGGGGAGGTCAAGGTGGCTTTGGATGAGAACATGACCAGGGGAGAGAATTTCCTTGGAAGAAGCAGCTGCTGGCTGTGAGTTTTGCTCCCTCTCGGGGGAGTATGGGGTGGGACCGGCTTTAGCCCTAAGTGGCCAGGGCCTCCTGGGGGGTGAGAAGAGCTGGGAACTGTGTTTCCGGGAAAAGCCGGGTCTGACTTATGCCAGGGAGCCCAGGACTGGGCCCAGGGTGGTCGTGGGAGGGGAGGTGGCCAGCCTGGAAAGCTCTTGGTTCTGTCCAGCAAGGCTGCCCCAGTCGGAGGCGGCTGGAGGTGAGAAAAGCCTCCCGGATGGAGATGCATGGCCCAGGAAAGCCTGTGGGAGTCCATGTTCACCGTCTGCCAGGCCTGTTGGGGGCAGGATGGGCTGCAGTGGTGGGGAGCTAAGGTTGAGGAGGGGAGCTCTAGGGCGGCCCTTCCCATGGGACCACTGTATCTATCCATTTTCTGTTCCTATAAGAAAATATCCAAGGCAGTGTACTTTTGTTGTAGTTGTTATAATAGGGATTGAACTCAGGGCATTTGCACTGAGCTACATCCTCAGGCCTTTTTCATTTTTTTATTTTGAGACAGTGTTTTTGCTAAGTCAGTAAGTTGCTCAGGTTGGGCTGGAGCTTGCAATCCTCCTGCCTTGGCCTCTCAGAATGCTTGGGATTACAGGTATATGGCACCATGTCCAGCTGAGGTGGGGTTCTTTATGGACAGAAGAGATTTATGGAGCTCATGGTTTCTGAGGCTAAGAGTCCAAAGATACTGATGAGGTCCCCATGGCTGCATCCCATGGCAGACAGCATCATGGGTCTTTGAAAGGGAGAGATCACCTGATCAGATGGAGCCCAGAGAATGGGGAGGGGCCGGTCTGGAGGCCAAGCCCCACTGCGTGTACCCTTGGGGAACACACTCAGGTCACACCCAAGCATAGCAACTGTGTCCCTAACTATCGCTGGGCCTTGGAAGCTTGCAGCCACCAGCTGGACTGCCCTACCTCCTGTCCCCTGGCCTCCCCTCCCCTGATCTGCAGGGCTGTAGTGAGAGGGAAGAATGTAGTGTCAGGTCAAGTTTGCTGTGTTGACCGTTACCTGCCACCAAACACTTCAGTTTGGGGATCAAGACTGACTGGCCTCCCACCTGGGGCTCATCTGAGCCCTAGCCCGGGGCAGAGGGATGCGCTGGGCACAACCTCCAGGGCTGGCCAGAGTTTGCCCACCTGGACTCTGCCACTGCTGCCTGGCTCTCGCAGCACCAGCCCCTTTGCCAGGGTCAAGGGGAGCTGTTAACTAGGGTCCCACGTGAGAGTCTCTGGGTTTTACTCAGCCAAGCGCACTGGGGAGCCCAGAGACCCTCCTGGCTCTGCCAGAGCTGGGGGCAGGGGCAAGGGCAGCATGTTCTGTTCCTACACCTACCCAGGGAGTAGAACCTGAAGAACAGAAGTCCCAGAGAGGCGTGGGGAGGCAGGAGGGGCCAAGGCCCGGAAGTGTTTCTCCTTCTTCTCCTTGGAGTGGCCTTTCCTGCCTCTATTCATTTATATTTAAGTTAAATGAAATTATTTGTGATGTTGGGGATTAAACCCAGGGCCTCACACATGCTAAGCAAGTACCACTGAGCTACATCCCTACCTGTTTTTATTTTGAAACAGGCCTCAGACCTGCGAGCCTTGTGCTTTAGCTTCGAGAGAAGCTAGGATTGCAGGCATGTGGCACCATGCACACTTTTACTTAAGTTTAGTTGTTGTCAAATATATATAATATAAAATTTATCATGGGAGCTATTACCATGAATCTGGGTCCAAACACAATAATGTCCTAACACTGAAGGAACTAGCAACGCATGTCAATTCTTTGCGTCTTTGATGAAAGATTTCAGACAAGACCCATAGGCTGTCATATAGAGTTTATTGCAAAATAACAGTTTTTTTCAGAGTGCTACCCCAGCCCCTCCTGCCTACCATTTTTCAGAGAGAGAGAGAGAGAGAGAGAGAGAGAGAGCCTTCAAGCATGAAGATGGGCAGGTGGCAGTTACCCTGAATGAGGTCTCAGGGTACATTTATGTGATTGACTGGGCCTTTCAAGTAATATAGGTGATGTCTCCGTTTAGTTGGTTTTGGGACCTTGAGGTTTTCTCAGCCCTTTCACCCATTGTCTGGACTTTGTACAGGCCCTGAACTTTATCCTTTTGAGCTAATGTTTGAAACCACGAGCCTGTGTGTGGGTTTTGTCTATAGCTGATGATTAAGAAAGTGGATGGGCAAAAAAACAGTTGGGCTGGGGATTTAGCTCAGCAGTTCTGCTGCCTTCCTCACACATGCAAGGTCCCAAGTTTGATCCCCGGTACCAAAAAAAAAAAAGCGGAGGGGGGGAAAAATCACATGTCCTTTGCTTTTCAGTTAGCTCCCCCCCACCCACCTGTCTCCGGCGCACTAATAGCTGACTTTCTGCCTCACAGGAACCACGTTCAAGCGCATGGTTCAAGATCGTTAAACACGTCCACACTGCTGTGCAGCCCGAACCGCTGTCCACCTCCAGAACCTTCTCACCTCCCCACACTGAAGCTCTGTCCCTTTAGGTCCTGACCTCCACCCATTCCCCAGCCCTTGTCCCCACCCAGGCTCTATGGGCTGATGACACTAGGGACTTCCAGCTCCACTGTCCCAGGTCAGCATCTTAGCCGCTGACCTTGCCCACCACCTCCACTCCAGTAACACCTGTCCCGCCATGACTGCGAAGTTGTCCCCTCAGCTGTGGCTCCTGCTGTTCCCTGCTCCCCCCTCTGACCTTCTCTGTCACCTCCTGGTGATTCCCTCCCTGTGCTCAGCTGCTCCACCTTGTTACCAGGTCTGGGGAACCCAAGTGCTGTTGGGCCCAATCTCTCCCAACCACCAGGGCAGCTGGAAAAGAAGTACCCAGTTCTAACACCCTGCTCTGTCTTGCTTTTATTTATGGTCATAGATGGCAACTTGTGGGCCTGGTGCAAAATGAAACTGCCCATCTCTTGTTTAAAATGATTAGGAATTTCCAAATGGTGACAGCGAGCATTAACCAAACCCGAGGCCCTGCATTGTGCCCAGAACTTTCCCAGGAGTCTTGTTTGCCTGTTTATTCCTCCAGCTCCCATTCCTCACCTGCCACCCCCAGCCCCTCCTGCCACTCAGATGGCACTGAGAATAGTCAGCCATGTGAGCTGTTGAGCGGCCCTGAATGAATTCCCTTCCACCCAGAGCCAGCTCCCTGCCCTGCGGTGTGCACACAGTCGGTTATGGGTACAGGGATCTGGGCATCTGCATTCTGCAAGCTGGAGACCATGAAAGCTGGTGGGGAGCCCTGAGGTCCAAGAGCAGGAGAAAACCCACCCTCCCTCCAACTTTTGGGCCTGTCCAGGCCTCCAAGGATCGATAGGACCACCATACCTTGATGGAGGTGATCTCCTTTACTCCATCTACTGATCCAAACACTCATTTCCCTGAAACACCCTTGTGGACGCACCCACAAACAATGTGTATCCAACCCTCTGATGTTCCTTTGCCTGGCCAAGGCAACACTTAAAATTAATCATCACAGTCAGCAAAGTGCCCTTTTCCAAATAAGGTCACATTCACAGGTCTTGGGGATTGGGATGCCCCAGTGCTCAGCTCGGGATAGTAAGCATCACCCCAGAGGGAGCAGGTGACCTGTGAACTGTGAGGCGGCAGGTGTGAAGCCATCGTCCACCTGCTGACAACAGGTCCACGCCCCATCGGGGAGTCACGGGCATGGCCTGGACCAGCTCAGGCCCCTCTATGGCTGTCCTCGCCTCTACCCCACCTGTGTCTCTTCCCACAAGGATGAGTGACCATGCCTGTATGTGACTCGGGTAACACCCCTGCTCCTGAGAGATGGAGGGGACACAGGGCCTCATGCATGGAGCTTCATGTGGATGTCTACTGAATGTGTAAAAGGAATGCAGATTGTGGGCACCCTTTGGGAGGTCCCTCTTGCCCCTCAGCCCTGTGGCCAGCTCTGGAGCAGTGTTCTCGGCTCCCACCCAGGCTCAGACCCAGGGAGCACCTTTGTGCCTCTCTGCTGCTCTCTAAGAGACACAGCCACCTCGGGAAGCCCCTGGGACAGGTAGATAGAATCATCTTCCCAGTGTAGTGAGGAAGAGCAACATTTATGAGCGAGTAAAAATCGCCCCAACTCAGCTTTTTGAGGCCATTTTCCATTAATTGGTTTTCTCCATCTGTTTTGCTCCATTAATGCAGATGAAAAAGCATTTCACTCTTTCACTTTAGCTTTCTTCCTCTGAATAGATAAAAGTTTGTTGTGTTCTCAAAGGTGGAGACAAACAGGCTGAGCCACCATTTACAGGACTGGTTTGTCTTTAACACTCAGCAACATAGACAAGTGGACCAGCCCTCAGGGGCCACATGTGTGAGGCCTCTTCAGGCCTGTCTCCTCCGCTCACAGGTGATGTCTTTTCCCTGTGTCCTTTGTGTATCTGTGTCCTGATCTCTTCTTACAGTGATCCCAGTCAGATGGGATTGAGCTGTTAGCTTTCTGTCACTGTGACAAAATGCCTGAGAATAACAACTTCAAAGAGGAAAAGTTTATTCTGGCTCATGGTTTCAGAAGTTTCAGTCCATGGTTGGATGGCTCCATTGCTCCGGACCTGAGGTGAGGCAGAACATTATGGTGGGAGGATGTGGAAAAGGAAAGCAACTCACTTCACAGTGGCCAGAAAGAGGGCTAGAGGAAGGAGCTGGGGACATGACCCCAGGACACACCCCAGTGATGTACGTCCAGCTAGGCCTCTGCACCTACAGTTTCCACCACTTCCCAATGGATTAATCTGGTCATGGGGCTGAATCCCTCAGGATCCGATCACCTCTGACCATTGCTGCCTTGGGGATCAAGCCCTCCATACCTGAATGAGCCTTTGGGGACACATCATCTTTAAACTATAACAAGGGCCCACCCTAGTGGCCCCATGTTAGTGTATTAACCTCTTTAACTCCAAATGTGGCTGGGGGTCAAAACTTCAACATACTATTTGGGGGGATCAAACACAGGCCATAACAGAGCCTTGGAAGAGTGGATAGAAAAAGATCAGGATCTCTAAAGAGACAATGTCCTGGATGGCACACTGTGACAGAAGAGAATGATGGCCCTGTGCCGAGGCCCCTCTGCTAGTGTCAAGGATTCAAGGGGGTTCAGAGTGAAGCGACCCGAGCTCTGTGGGGAACCAAGATTCCCTGGCTTCAAGACAAAGTTCCAGCAAAGGCTGGGTCACACCAACTGACCTGGGAGGGTCCCTCCAGTGTACACTTCCTGCCTGAGGAGCTGGGCAGTGTCCCAAGCTTTGAGCCATCTGTCCCTTCTGCTGGGACCTGGAGATGGGGGTAGAGCAGATGAGCTTTAGTGAGAACATAAAAATTGAGACCCAGCAGAACACACTGATTCATAAATGGAGTTAGCAGAGTTTATTTCCGAGGAGCTCCCACAGCAATCAACAGCACCACTCAGCAAGCAGGGAGGTGGCCCACCAGCCTCAAGACAGTAGAAAATTTGTAGCTCTGTTTATCTGGAGTGAAAGCTACAGCTGTCACCCGTCCTCCTTCAGTTCTTACTATTACCTGCTGCTGTCATTCCCACTGATATAGGCAGGTACTCTACGTGACTTCCGGATTTCTCTCACTTCTGGTGCTTTTGTCCCCTCAGTCTATGGATGGTTTGACAGGGATGGCATAAGGGTGGTGATTTACATTCTTTGACCTTGCTTACGAGGGCAACTTCAGGAAGCTCCCTGGAGCCTCATCCCAGGATACTGCAGAGCAGGAAAAGGCTGGGCCCTGCTGCCTCTGTAAGGGCCCCTACATTCAGGCAGTCTTGGCTTTGATTGGGGGGCTGGATGAAATGCATGTACCCCATAAAGTAGCCAGGCTTTGTGGGGAACTGGCAGCCAGCCACACCCCACACCTGGCCAGCCAAAGTCTCACTTGCAGGGACGAGCCCCAGGTGTTTCTTGGTGGGGGACTCTGACCTCGTTGCTGGCTCCACGCCAGTATAGTGTGTTTTAGGCTCCGACAATCAGCATATTCCATCCAACCTCTTGATTAGCTTGGGGAAAAGTATCCAAGTCTCATCCAAGAGGACTTGAGGCCAATTTCTCCAGCAAGTCAATCCCAGGAGTTTTATGGGAAAAGCTAAGAGAAGAGCTTACCCTTCTTCTGGGGCCCCTGAGCTACAGAATGGGAACTGAGAGCAGAAGTCCATTATGCCAGCAAAGGGGTGTGCCTGGCCAAGAGCCAAGTCCTCAGGGAGGTCTGAGCTGCGCACTGAGCTGGGAGCTCATCTATGGGAAAGAGAAACAGTTCCAGATGCTGCTGCTTTGTCACCTGGATCTTCCCATGCCTGAAGCCATGTTCAGAGTTTTTAGTTACTAGATTCAATAAGCTTCTCTTCCCTTTTATCTCATTTGATTTTAGTTTCTTTCACTTGCTCCCCAAAGCAGTTTCTCAAATGACAACAGTGTGTTTGTGTTTGGGCTCCCTGGCTGAGGTAGTCCTTACCGACACTGTCTGACTTAAAGAAAAAGTAAAAAGATGGACAGACAGCTGTTCATGGGAAACATTGTAAGGGGCTTCTGGACAGATGGGGCCTAGAACAAATTGGAGATGCTCTGGGGTCAGAAGTAGTTGAGGGCTCTCCTGTCCTGGGTTCCTTGTGTCAAGTTCAGTTCTGGGGAGTGAGGGCATAAGCGGCAATCTCGAGCCTATCAGAGTCCCACCGACTTGGGGGGTTAGAAGACTACTTTTTATTCTCATGGATCTGGAGGCCAGAAGCCTGAGGTGAAAAGTGTGGCAGGGCTGGCTCCCTCTGGAGAGGTTCTGAGGTAGGAGATTCCACATGGAAAGGCAAGGTGACTGGGCTTGGCCTGTCAGTCACAAAGACCAGTCAAATTATGGCCAGGATGCATGCGCAGAGCAGCTTCGGAGCTCTTCCTGGGACAGTGGAGTCTGAAGTCAGAAGGAGGATATGAAAGATGGCGGCCATTGGCCTTGTGACCGCTGACTTCTTGTTCTTGCAGTGACTCATTATGTGTGCATAATTGTATTTTCTCTTCAGAGAACTTCACCTTCTTTTTACTTTTTTCTTTTTCTTGGAGCAGGACAACAAGAACCTGGAAAAGACCACTGGGCACCCCATCATCTGGTAACAGTTCTAGGGAAGAATCTTTTTCCAGATCGTTCATGGCTCCTGGTGGCCCTGGCACCCTCACCCCACAGGTGCATTATTGTGTCCCTGGTTTGGTTGTCACACAGCGTTCTCCTTCTGTGTCTGTGACATGGCTTTTGAAAGGACACCAGCCACTCTAATGTACCATGACCTCAACTAGTTACAGCTGCAAAGAGCTTTCCAGATAAAGTCTTTTTATTTTGGGGTTGTTGTTTTTTGAGATAGGATGACCTTGAACTCATGATCCTCCTGCCTCAGCCTCCTGTGTGCTGGGATTACAGGAGTGTACCACTGTGCTCAGTCAAGTAAGGTCATATATATA